AAGAAAGAAATTATACATTTTAGTTTTTAAATTTGATCATTTTTGTATATCTTTATATGGAGCCTTTCTTTTAAAGGAGATCGAAATCAAAATATTATAAATTCCATAAAACGAAAGCGTCAACATTTTTCCATTTACATTTTAGGGAACGTATTTATTTTTGCAGATTATTCAATGAGAGATAACGCTCCTGAATGTTCTTGATAGAATTCTCTCATAGCTTATGTTGTTCTTTTATTTCAAATGAGGCCGAATCTACTTCTTTTCACATGACTTAGCGCAGCATTTTAATTGCATGCAGTAATTTGTGCGACGATATACTTTTGCTAAATATTTTGTTTAATTTCTGTAAAAAATTAACACTATCTTTAAGGCCTACATGTACTGATCAGAAAATGTGATAAACAGTAATTTCGACTATAATTAAGAAAAACGCTGAAATGGCTCTAACGACGTCACAATTTTTCGATTTTGTAAGCAATACATGGCGCTGAAGAATGACGCATGACTCGCTTGTATGTCCAAGACGTCCATGGATATCATACTTAAAACTGATAACAGAACATCCTAAGAAACAAACTAGAATAATAAACACTGTTTTTTTTTTACGAAAAAAGAAATTATGATTCATCATCATTTATATTTATTTATTCTGTAATATGGCAATTCTAGAGGCATTGTACTTATAAGAAATAATATAAGTAAGTATTTCCTAGACCAGTTCCCAGATGTTAATTTTTTTTTACTTCCCAATTTGGTGATTTTTATTTACAAAACCTCTCATCTACTTGAATGAAAAAAAAATATCAAGGGCAAAAATACGAAAAAATATGTGGAATGTGATGGTTTGGCACATTTCCAAGTAATTCGTATAGGGTCCAATAGTATATAGTTAAAGTATATCATTGAGGAGGTCAGAGAGATTCATTAATGAATTTTCATGAGTTTATTCGGAACATTTCTAAATTTATCGGAAGTTTAAAGAAAATGCTACGTCTTCCGTGTAGGTGTTTATCAGTTCATAAAAAAATGCGTACTTTTTTGGCAGGGAATCAGTCTGTTTTGCAGGGAATCGGTTTATTCATGGTGATTTTTAGGAAATGAGCAAAATATATCGATTTACATTTATATAGTGAAAAATCAGTAGGGATATACTGAAATTTGACAATATCTAAGATTGTCCCCGATTAAATCGGGATTGTAGACAAGCGATTGTTTTTTTTTTTATCTCAAAACAATAATCAGAGCAGTAAAAATTAATTTTCAAATAGGGCAGAAATAATTAAACTCGGCCTCGTTAAATCATTTTATAAGCACTATTTAGATATAATTTAAACGGAAAATGGTAACACTCTTAGTCTTTACAATACATAGAATTTCTTAAGTGCATTTCAATATCCATACAGATTTTTTGAAAAGATAGATAGCTCATACTTTTCTTTTAGAAAACTGAAGTATACCTCTGACAAACATAGGGTGCTTGTTGAGTTTCTCATCACTTTCTTCCTTATATCCCCCATCAGTTTGACTGATACTTAATGTTGATTCCACAAGGTTCAACGTTCCCGAAAGAAGTCTATCATAGCAATATTGTATTCCCCAAAGCAAAAGATGGAATAAACAGAAGATCGTTGCTATCCACTGCATGTGAAAGGGAAATATTGACTTGACGGTGTATTCCTCTAAAAAGTCAGTCTGCAGCTGTGACCAGTAAAACTTTGACTTCACTTGTACTTCGGAGAATGTGTGGCTTAAGAAATCATGAATTGAAAGCTGCATTTTTAGTTACATATGAACGATTACTTACATTTCAAAAAGAAGATCAAATATAAAAGCTATTTTTACCTTTGTTTCAAAATTCGATATTCGTGGTTTCAAGTGTATGAAATATATGGCGATTACGAAGGGATTCAAGATCAAAAGTCAAATAAATAAAACAAAATTAAAGCAGAGCAAATACAGACCTCCAAAACTTTAGAGGTTGGATCAGGTGACGTAGAGTAGTGAGGATCACTATATCATTATCATTAATATAATATTATATCAATAGCTGGGAAATAACGGAAAATCCCTCTTCAATTCAGTGTGCTATTAATTGCCTGACAATTGGCGTGAGCAAACGTCAGTCAACATTTCTCTTAAAAATAAATTGTATTTGGTGATTAGGTCATTGTATCGACCATAAAAATTAGGAAAATATTATTTTAAAAGAGACTGCTCATGCTTATCGAATGAACCGGGGTAAATAAATCCCGTACATAGGTGATAAAAGTATATTGCTGCATATAGTTGAAGATTGAAAAGTTAAAGTCATCACGTTTATCGCGTAGAGCTTGGTTGGTAGATTACCGTTAACGTCTTTATCAAGTAAAACATCCAAATATGAAACCAAAAAAATTGATTTAGATTTGAAATCAATAATTTGTAAGAATTCCAAATAAGATAAACTATAACCTGTACATGGCGATCAATAGGTTAAGCATCAATATAACTGCAACCAATCCATACAATGCCTTTAGGTAAGGTGCCAAAAATCTCCCAAGAGAAGAGGGACACCTCTCTAGACTTCCACTGGAATATACTTTCTCATCAAAGGAACACTCTGGTTCTTCGACTATAAAAATCAAAATTTTAAAATTCAAATGGGAAAAAAATAAAACGAGTTTTAAATTACTTTAAACAAAGACTATATAATATCTCCAACCTTTGATTTTTATAAATTGAAATTTTCAAGAAACAAGATTTTAAGATTACTTAACACAAAGACTATTTAATATCTGCTCCGCAAACTTTGAATTTTAAAATGTTTTTATAAACATATCTAAATGGCAAATACAAAACTTTCTAAGAAACCTTCTTTAATGTTCAATATGTTTAACATAGAGCTTGTTTGTAAGATCATCAATAACGTCTTTTTCAAGAATAATAAGCAAAAATGAAACAGATATGCCAGACTCTATGGCATCGTTTATTTCAAGATCACCTGGATATATCGTATGTACATAAGAATGGAATAACCACTCTTAATTGACAATACGTCATTGATATAATATAAATGATATTATCTAATTAATATCGAGTTGAAGTCCACATCATTTTTTTTTCACTTTTCACGTACTGGATTTTGGACAAATTCGACTTCATATACACACAAGTCTGCTTATAAAGGGTCATAATTGGTACCCATGGGAATTCCAGTAGATTGTTGGATTACAATATTTACGCCATAAAACTCTTTAAGATATAGTTTAAAAAAAAATGTTATTTTTAATTGTGACGCGACAGACAAAAAGCACTTAAACAGTCAATCCTCTTGGAATATCTTCTTGAAATGTAGGCTTACACATATTTACAATTTGTTTCCAAGTCTTTAAGTTACATGTGTCATTTAGGTGTGAAAATTATAAATCACAAAATTGGATCAAAATTAGAAATACACGTAGACAAGGCATTTAAAGTAATGTTTGTATTACTAGGTCAAAGGACACTATATGTTTCCATTGTTTGAAATAGAATTGCATCATTATTCAACTAGTAAAGTTTACATAATTTTATAATTGTACCTATTGAGTTTCTTGGCATAGTTTAGATAAAAAGGGTCATATGAAACATTCGGATGTTACAAACAGTATTGAAGATCAACAGTCCATAAAAGCATACGAAATAGGAGCAGAGTACACACAGACCTCCAAAACATCGGAGGTGGTCTCTACAATGACATTGGAATCAATCTCAAATTTAAGGTATGTCACTCGTGAAATGTGTTAAATCAAGGATTTTTTGAGAAATATGTTTGGATAAGTACTCGTATAGTGTGATAAAAATCGCAGAGAAAATAGGGGGTCAGTGTGCATCTTACTGATCTACGGTACAAATAAATTGACCTTTTTGCAATTAAATTTTGACTCTTTGGTTAATGACTTTAACTTTTATCATATTTTATCAGATGTAACCATGGCAAGTTCTAAAAATATAAATTAAGACCTATAGTAAATCTTCCTTGCAATTGTATAAGAGAAAAAATATTCTCCGAGTAAAAGTATGTGAGGCTAAAAATCCAAGATAGTAAATTGAATAAATGTGCAGATTTGCAGAATTATCTGCTAAAAATCCTTCCACCACAAGAAATAGTCCCTCATAAATCTTGCTTCTTTGTAGCCTCTTGAGCAGTATTAGCGATGAATGTTAAAACATCAACATTGTTAAATTTAGATATGTTATAAAAATTGAATTTTAATAAATAGTTTTGAAGTAGGAGGTTCTGCGTGAACTTTTCTAAAAAGCTGACGAGTGACATACCCTAATGTTGATTCATGTTAAAAAGTTTTACTATGTCTTGTAGTCACCATTTCATTCAAGGTTTCTACGGTAAGCAGGCAGAAATAAATCGGTAACAAGTTATTTACACTCTCTTTACTTTTTTCGATATTTATAAAAATATTATAAATCACATACGCCTATCTCCTTCCAAATTTAATTCTCCAAAAAGCATCCAATATCCATTTCGGGTAACTTTTTCCAATGTATTGAAGCTGACATCTGAATTTCCATAATACAATATGGCGAAGTACGAAACATTGTAACACATGATGAAGACAGTCATAATTGCCATAAAGGCAAAAGTGTCTATAAACTAAAAAAAATATATAATTTTCTTTATAATTGATCGCAGATTTTAGATTTTTATTCAATTTTTGATTAGATTTTAAATTATATTTTTAAAATCATTGCATGAAACATTGACTCTTTTCCTCATATTTACATTAAATGCAGATTTTCTTAAATTAATGAGAACTGTTTTATTAAAAAAATACCGTTTTACAGAACCTATTGACTTTGATATCTTTGGAAAGATCAGAAAAATATACACATATTGTGACGTCACTTTTTAATGTTTTTGACGTAATACCTCCGAGAATGACGTCAGAATACAGATTGTTTAGCATACTGAAAAGTCGCATATTTATCACATGAGACGATTTTAAAAGTGCTGCCAAAAGCTTATTTGAAAAGAAAATATTTCAAAGTAAACTTTCATTTGCAAAGAAGTGGAGTAGGACTATGGTACCTGTACTGTTTATCAATAATTCTATATTTCATTGCTTGGTTTGTTCACAAGCACGGTTTATGTCCGGTTATTCTATTATCTACATTCATTTAAGATTTTACCGTTCACGGTAGCTCTGTCGGTAGAGCGCTCGCTCCGTGATTGGGAGGTCGTGAGATCGTATCTCGGCCGCAACTGACCTAGTCGTTAAAATTGGTATCAACTATTCCTTTGCCATGCGCTCGGCAATTTGAAGTGAAAGTTGCGGGTCCTTCGGATGAGACCTTAAAAACCGAGGACCCGTGTCAGCGGCATGCGTTGGCACGATAAAGATCCCTCACTGCTCAATGGCCCTGAGTGCCGAGTAAAGGTCAAAATTTGAAGCCCTTCACCGGCATACGGTGACGTCTCCATATGAGTGAAAAATTCTCGAGAGGGACGTTAAACAATATACAATCAATCAATCAATCATTTAAAATTTTAAGTTACATAATATGAATGGATTTTCGGTCATTTTTTTTTCTAATTAATTCAACTTCGGCGCCCCAAAACTTCTTTTGACTTTTGACTCCAAAAAATGTTTATAAGTTACACAGACACATAGAATCATTGAATTTCCATTAATCAAATTTTGCGAATATGTTGAGGTACGGTGGCGTTACAACTGCGCCCACGCCATTTTGGATTTTACGAGAAAATATGGGACAAGCTACACTTAACTTTTTTTTAGCCTCCATCGATCCCACAAATCGGGTTAAAACACCTGAGCAATTAATGCCATTAAAATTTGGTAACACGATCATCTATTTTTCGTGATTGTCAACTTTTTCTCACAGTTAGGTCTGTTTTACGCAATATTTTGAGCCAAATTCGATAAAAACATGCAATGTTTTACAATTGTTTAAACCATTTCAGAACAAAAAATGTCCCAAATAGAACCCCATATGATAGATTGTAGTCTATGCAAACATTCTTCCAACTGGTATTTGCGTCCGATAGCTTGCGCCCGTGTAATGAGCAAAAGTTGTTTTAAAATTTTTATTTGATAAAATTGTGTCTTTTTTTACGTCATTTTTATGGCCATTATTGTAAGCATGAGGAAGTATAACGTCATTTTCAAAGTTATAAAATTATATAGTGACTTCACAATTTATGTTTATTTTTCTGATCTTTCGAATGATATCAAAGTCAATAATTTCCGTAAAAGGGTAAATTTCTTATTTACCAGTTCTCAGGACATTAAAAATGCCCCTCGTATATACACCTCTGATCAATATATCCGGGGGTATCAAAAATCTTTACAACATAAACAATTTAAGTATTGACAAAAATGTGAAACATATATAGAAGTATCGCAATGTGGATTTAAAGATATTTACCATTTTTCGTATGATAACAAGTGTTGGCCCAAGAAGCTCAGAAATACAGAACAAATTAAAAACCCGGATGCTTAGAATGATGAAAGCTAAAACAAGAAGGATCTTGGAGGCGTTGTAATAATGTAATTCATTTCCTAGCTTTAACAGCATCCCACAGGTAAATGTTAACATTGAGAGCCAGTCCAGTATATTCCATGGATCCTTGATGTATGCAGTGAATTTCTTTCTCCATATTGCAATGGAAAACTAAAATATATTAAAAACCATACAGGCATACCATATATGAAAATTGTGTAAACGAAGTGGTGAATAGGGAAATTCCAACGATATTTTGTCCAAATAACATATTCATAATATATCTATTCATGCATGAAAAAAAACAAGAATAGCAAAAATTAAACGACAGGAAATTTTGGGACTGGCGTGCAGATATATTATTTCTTTATTTTGGCCGTTTCTGTAAATAATATTGGGTCGATGTTCTTTTAAAAAAATCTTACTTTCATGTGTATGTTGGACATTTTTTAAAGAATCTTACTAGTATTATATCTGGTAATAAATTATTTAAAACTATTCTTTAAGCTAATAAAATTAAATAATTTTTTTAACCTTCATCTGCCAATTTTTGCAAGTAATCATCCTTATATAATGAAGACCCTATCACACAATTTAAATTCTGTTGATAATTACTGCATGTTATCCTCTTCAAATAAAATTTTAAAATTTTTAGGATTTTCAAAATAAGTAAAATTGTGTTTTCGTATTGACGTAGTTTTTTCTGTTAACAAAAAGCATATCATTTCACTCAGATAATCTATAAAAAGACAAAAATCAACATGACATTTATTATTGTCTACATTCGTCAATTGGTTAAATTTTACTTCATTGCATTTAATTGGAAGCCATTTCTGCAAACGTATCCATTATATAAGAAATATTTAATGTTTTCAGAAATTCAAAATTTCTTTTCAAAAGTTGTAATACCTGCTTGGTTTCTTCAATGAAGAAACTTCCCATCCAAATAATAAGAAACACATCAGCATTGGAGATAGTTTCCTCGTGGCTACAGATTAACATATACGCGTAGCCCAAAAGAAGACAAAACAATCCAATCTAAAAATGAATTGTTGAACATTGAACATCTTGAATTTTAATATTAGCAACTACATTTTAATATAAATGGTAGAAAGAATGACTATGCCATGCAATATAAAGGTATAGCTCGGCATGACGTCAGTAGTTCTGAAATTTGCAGAAATGCATGCCTATTGAAGTTCAACACATGAAGTACATGTAAAAGAGGCATTATTTTTAGTTAAATCATCTTGATATTATTTTTATGAATTTAAATCTCGTCAGAAGATGATTGGAATATATACTGAAAGGAAAAAGAAACGCAGAGTAACATGATATGCGATTTGTTTAACCGAATGACCAAAAATTACAAAAATTGGTCAGATGAGAATCTTGGTTACTATACACTAAAACTAGTGTTCAGAATTACTCATGTTCCATGGGGTCTGGGTTATACGTTGCCTAAGTTAGTACAAAGGCATAAACGGCTCGTTTTTCAGTCGCAAGTAAATTTTCCCCATAAACGTCTTAACCTTAGCCAGAAAGGGCCTTGAATGGTTTATCAATCCATAACGTCATAACAGAGTCACGTTAAGATCGGGTTATTCTTCCTTCCACCTGTTTAATAGCAATTGTACTAAAACAAAACTGCTATTAATAGAGTAGGTTATCATAACCATTACATTCACCATAAATTTGAAAAGAAAAATCGATTGCGCAATTTGGATCTTTGGGCTGGTGAACTTTACGTTGGGGTTCCTCTCGCTGCCGCATGCGTACGCTGTTTGCCTAATTTTTTCATCCTCCGGTCCATTGTAGCAAGGGTTTATCAAGACTTCTCCTCGAACATCTGTGAGACTGAGTCGAAGATACGGTTCGAAATGCCAAAAATGGACCCTTTGAACTAAGGGTTATCTTCTTGAAAAGGTCGAAAAATATCCCTATGTAGGATAAGCACACTCATGAATTCCATGCAAAGGGGAAACAAGACTGTGACAGATGCGCCA